TGGCCTCAGAGCAGCCACTGCCCCTCAGTCAGAGAGGGTTATGAGCCGAATCCTCTCCACCATGCCGGCTAGAAGACAGTCTACCCTCAGATTGCCTTTCATGTCACTCTGGCCCCAATTTGTGTGTCCAACCTTGTCTCCCACACCCCGAAGTGTCTTGTGACAGACTATACCCACTCATCTTCAGATCGTTTTCATTTTTCCTGTCTAGATTATCCTTCCCTCTCCTCTCTAACTCTGACTCAATTGCTAAGCTCCAGTTGAAAATTCTATCTTTTCCAAGAACTTATATTGACCATTCACAGAAAGGTGAGTCTCTCCTTCAGTCAAACCATAATAATACTTTGTGTCTAAACTACTTACTTATCACCAACAGATACTTAGGCAGTTTGCTCATGATTACCTAACTTCTGTAGGTATGACTTTCCAACTAGATCCCCAAGATCCTGGAAGACAGGGTCTGTGTTTTATGCACTTTCCTCTCAAAGACAGGCCTAGTACCATGCACCTAATAGCCACTTTGAATAGTAATGAATTAGATACGGCTTAATAAACCCTAGACATTTCCAAGTACATAAAAACATAACCATTTGCCCAAGGAAGCATACAGAGCTCTGAAATGAGAAATACCTCTTTTAAAAACTGCCCTTATTCTGCCCTTCCCCTTAATCCATCTTTGCATTAGCTTTACCAAGACCAAAATACAGTCATCATTCTATGCTGAGGAAGCTACAAATAACAGAATAAACAATTTCAGGCAACCTATTTTCGCTGCTTGATGCAAGCACCTCCCCCAGGGACCACAACATGTAATCTGCATTTCTATGAAGACACTTAGTACCCACTGCTTTGTGTGGTATTCATTGCTGTACTTTGTCTTTGCACCTAGACTAAGCCAACCATCTGGTTCATCCCTTACTCCAACTATTCTTGGTGCCTACTTAATGCACAGTGAAGTTACACAAAAAAGAATGGATAACAGAATGATTAAGACAATGAGTTAAAAAATAAATAATATACATTCTGCCCCAGTTTATCACAAGAAATATTTCTCTGCTTCTTTCCTCTGCCTCTTTGTAAACACAGTAGGAAAACGAGATGGTGTGACAAAATGGAAACCCTGAGGCCTAGCAGTAATTGAAGTATCTATAGTTCTATACTTTTACTTTGCAACTCAATATTTACTAATTCTTAGTGGGTGCAATACACTACAGTATTTGTTGAAAGAACATAAACTATTTTTAAGTTCTCTGTCCTCAAGGAACTCGTAGAAGGTAAGATAACAAATAACAATACAAAAAATGGCATGAATAAACATGTAATGTGCAATCACTAACATTTTTGAATGGTTACACTATATCAGGTATTGTTAAGCCTATGAAATATCTACTATTATATTCCTCTGATATTATTCTTATAGTACAGATGGGGAAACTGAGTGTTAAAAGGTTAAGGGATCACACAAGTGATTAACCTCAAACCTACCCATATTATTTCCAAGCCCATTTCTTAGCCATCACACTCTAATGAATAATCTCATTTAAAAACAAAAACAAAAAAAGGGTCAGATTGCCACATGAACAGCACAAACATAAGTGTACTGGATTTCAGAAGAGACAGAAATCACAATGGCATATGAAATAGTCCTAAAGTAATAACTGAGCATTTGGTTCATTAACCACACAAAGGCACCTTGTGACTGTGCCCTTTTATTTTCGGTCTTGGAAGCATCCCACTGTGGCCACCCTGCAGGCTACCAAGAAAAATTGTTTTTAATAGAAATAATGATCATAATGAACAATTCATACTGAGCATGGCAAGTTTATATGCAAATTTCCTCCTGTGGGTTAAATGAGGATTTCTGGATCTTGTCTTTTCTCCTGGCAAAGTCCACCATCTGGTAAACTCTGAGCTCTCAAACCAAAGTATAAAAAGAAATAACTTTATCTCTTTATGTATTAATGCGCTATCACCAACTTATTTACATAGCTATAATTTTAAGTGTTCATTTCCCTTCTTCATTCTGAGATATAGTTTGTAGGTTGACATCATGGTTGTTAAAACTTCTACAATTTATCTAATTATTAGACCACTGTAGTACTCTAAAAATACACTTAAATATACATATGAAATCCTCAAACTTCATTGTCATATTCATAACTATAAGAAATGAGAAATAACTGAGTAAAGTTTCACATACATATAAATCTTTTAAACACAAATGCATTGTAGTAACTATCTGTTACTCCTGCCCACTCGGCAACCTAAACTCTTTTTCTGACAACAGCCTCCAATTTTCTTTTGCAGAACCATCTTTATACCTGTAAGTTCACTGAGGCTGATTTCAGCCCCTGCAATACAGTCTGAACAATGAGGATATCATAACTCTTGGCCACGGCAATTCATTGCTGAGTGGATACTTTACCTAATCCAGGCCAATCAGAGGAAGTAAGTATCAGCCTTTTGGTGCAACTTCTAGAAAATACATTTTCACTTTATGCTAAGGTGTTAAGACAGTAAAACAAAAGCTTTGAGTGCAGATGGTCATCTTGCAACCTAAGGGAAGAGCCTGCCTGAGAATAAACATTAAAGAACTCAGAATCAGGTAGACACAGGTTCCTAATGCCATCATTCAAGCACCTAGATTCAGCCAGACATGAAGTCAGTTACTTTTCAACCATATGTGATGATTCCCTTTTAGCTTAAAATAATCTGAGATCATTTTTTTGTCACTTTCAACCAAAAGAGTCCTGATATATGCAGATACGAGTCAGTTACTTTTCAACCATATGTGATGATTCCTTTTTAGCTTAAAATAATGGAATATATACAATTCCATTTTAACAGGTTAGAGATTAGCATCTTCAAAGTAATTTGTATCAAAGAATGTGTTTATATGGAACTCAACTTTTCTTGGAGTGATCTGTACATGTCATCTAGCCTTTCTCCGTGCTTTAACCTACCTCTACCTCAACAGATCCAGAAAATGATTACTGATTTACATGCTGGCAGATTCTAGACAGGTAAATTAGATGGTTACTTTTTCTTTTCAAATTAGCTAAGAAAGCAAAACAGCATTCATTAAAATAAGGTAATTTTAAAAATACGTAGGCATCCATGTATTAATAAACTCCCACACATGAAAAGCTGTCAATTAACACAATTATCCTTAATGTACCATGCCATTATTATTCAGCTATAAGGAGTCAACAACACTAAGATCCTGGATTTCAGAACACTACCCAACTATCTTACTTAGGAGCAGAATAAGTTCAATTTCAGCTAGCAAGAGGTAATAAAAACTGGAACCTGCTGAGACATTTTTGGGAAATATCTATGCCTTAGCCCTTCATCTTCAAAATGTTGAAAAAGGATCTTACCTATGTTTACATTACAAAAAAGTTATCAGGACTCAGGTAATCTAAATAAAATACTCAGAATTCTTTAGAATAAAAAGGTGATAGCCCTTAAATTCCCCCCAATTAATTCTGTCTTCCTCCTTGATAATCTCTGTCGATCGAGGGGTGGAAAAATTAAAACTAGGCTGTCAGTGACATTAATGTGTGTGTGGCGGGGGGAGAGAGGGGGGCTGTAATGCTACTAAGCCGTTCACAAAAAAGCAGTCCCAGTTATGGACTAGCAGTCAAATAAATTTTGTCTATAAAATTCCAGGGCATGCTATATTGAGAAGACATTGGCTCAAAGTCTTTTTTGGCCTGTTGATTCTTTTATTTTAAGTATTTTAATTATATTAATTATATTGTTAATATCATTTCAATATTTCAAGAATCTCTATCAGAGAGATATAAAATTCAAATCAGTCATTTTGGGTTTTAGCAACCTCAATGATGGCCTAATGAGTAACAATTATGGACTGAATTCTCTCCCCTCCCCCAAATTCATATAGAAAAACTCTAATCCCTAATGAGGTAGCATTTAAAGATGGGGCCCTTGATGGGTATTTAGGTTTAGATGAACTCATGAGGGTGGGGCCCTCATGACGGGATTGGTGCCCTTTATAAGTGAAGATACCAGAGTTTGTTTCCTCTTTTTCTCTACTGTGTGAGGACATAGTGAGAAGGCTTTCATCTGCAAGGCAAGAAGTGAGCCCTCACTAGGGAACCAAATCACTTGGCCCCTTGGTCTTGGACCTTCCTAGCCTCCAGAACAGTAAGAAATAATTTCCTATTGTTTAAGCCATCCAGTCTGTGGTGTTTTGTTATGGCAGCCTGAGCTGACTAATTATTTTCCTTATTTCATTTAATCCAGGTTTGGTTGGTGGTCATAAGCCTTTGGGAGAAAAAAACCATGGGCCCACAGAAATAGTAATAACTGAATCTCACTGATTCTTTGCCCAGTTGCATATCACAAACCTGCATCCCTCCTACCCTCCAATTCA